TTTAGGCCCGCTCGTCCGAAATTGGTAATACAGTTATTATGGAATGTATGTTCAAGAAAAATGACAAACTGCGATAAAAGCACTGATTTGTCCGAGCGTTTGCCGCAAAGTTATAACGCCTCTTTATTAATAACAAGCTGTCATATACGTATAAAGGGGGTAAGTACATAATGGCGGGAAATGGATGTGAAAAACTACAAGCAGCCAAACTGTTGACACATGTATTCTGTGGCAAAAGCATGTGAGCTCTGTCATTCCCCAGTGCTCACTGCCACCGTCACGATACCGTCTCGAGGAGCCTCTTGGCTACGTTATCAATTCTTTGTGTGTCTGGCTGTGTGATACCGTGGATGCCACGAGGCATGTCATAAGAAAAAAACATATTTGAAAAAATGTCTGTACGAATAAAATACAACGTACTTAAACCTTCGAATAAGTTCAAAATACTGAACGCTATAAGTGATAAGCGAATACTCCTCATAAATAAACACACGCGACCGTGAAGGAAACACGAACGCTCGATTTGTTTGAACTTGATTTGTTTGCTCATAAATTTGGTAATTCTTACAAACGACTTGCCTAATAATAAGCACGCCAAGTTATTTCAGTTACATTTGGCGATTCCGGACTACCTCTTATTGGAATATGCCGCCGTATAGACTGATTCACGTAATTAGCTAAACACGGTGATGTAGAGCGACTTGGAATGCGTCGATGTTTTGTTTCAACGTTCCCCCTAATTCGATAAATAATCGAATGACAGTAGGCCGGGACGTATCCTCGGTGGAATTGATCGCACTCTGGCGCACAAAATATGATACCACGTAAAAACACTATAAAAATCTGTATACGAAAAGAGTTTGGCGGCACGGGCTATCGTATATGGTCGCCCTGAGGGTTAAAACACCACTAATATATACCTTCCATGTAAAGAAACTACTACAAAGCAGGTACATTAAAACGAGCCATCGTCCGTGGGGACTACTATACATTGTTTTAGGTCTTTTCCTACCACGTGGCCTTTTAACGCAGGTACTACTCCCGATTCCCTTCGCTGATCCCATTAAGGAGAACGCCGCTACGACATCCAGTCCGATCTTCCATTTCTCAAAATTGAATTTATAAAATATGTTTTGTTTTGTTTTCAGTTCGGGATTATCTGTCAGCTGCTCTGACACTCTCGACCTCCCCAGTAACCAACCCAGACTTCTTTTATACTAACCTAACTCAGTATCCATTGGTAATCCCGAAATTAGTGATTGTATGTAAGAACGCATTGAGAGATTGTCGTTCAATCAACTTCATTTTAAAGTTCAAATTTATGTTTTCTTCTATGCTCTCAATAATTTATAAATATGTATCGGCGAAATACACCGTGACGATAACAGTTTTAAAAAAAACATGGTATTACAGAAATGTCACATTTATATTTTAGAACTATTAATTACGAAACTTTGGAGTATTCCATTTATTAAAATACTAGTAAACTACGTCCGCTCATCATAGATATGCACGTACTGGCGGTCACTGCTATGTGTACACACGGCGTATGGTGGACAAGGACTAATATTTGTAACTATGGAAACGTAAATAGATACATTATCGTAATGAATTATTCGTTCTCTTCTTCGTCGGCATTGTGTTTGCGTTGGTTACATCATCGTCAACGTCACCTTTATGTTTGTTATCTCTCTTGTTGTAGTTGTCGATGAGACAAGTCGATATTATTCAGTGATAAACTAAGTAGGCTTGCTCTGATTACACATTTGCCGTCTAAATTCAAGTTCATTGGGTCATTTCCTCTCAAAAACAATATAATAATTGGTGATATATATGGGGTGAAGAGAATGGCGGTCGTTTAATAAAAATAACAGTTTGATGTTCATATGTGAGTGAGCTACAACTATAGCGGTTAATTTCTTTCCAATTATTGGCGACAAACCCGCCACTCTCAAGAAAAAATAGAGTGCATTAGGAAATAAACTTAAGAGCCTGACTGCATTCCACTGTTTCTAAGGCAACCAGATCCCGTTAGGTCGGTCATGTTCCGCTAAATATTACGATATTTCCTATACTTAAGAAGGCAGCACTTCGAGATTGTGAACATGGACGACACTCAACATTAAACTTGTATAATGCGGAGTTGCGCATTTTTTTTAATATAATGAATTAATATGAACTGAACAAGTTACACTGCTGCTGGCATATATTGGTCATTACTAAATCGTTGTCACGTGTGTCACATTTCGTCAAAATTCCTCTTAAAATAAAACCCACCCCTCTCAAACAATCATCTTGTATATAACTACCTCTCAACAACACACGCGCACGTACCATAGGCGTGACGTCACGGACTACAGTGTGCCAATCACCTGTCATCTGCCACTCACTTGTGTCGCTATTTTGACTTCTTAGTGGGCTTCAATTCTCGAGTGGTACTGTACAAATGGCAAGAAATCAAGACGATTACGGCGTGAAGTCGTGTGTCATGAAAAAAAGCTGCAAGCCAATGAGAGGACTTGTCCACCCTCACGGCGATTATGTTGACGTTTCTATGGTAATGTGATATGTTGTAGAAACTTGTGCTTTTTGAATGCGCCGTGATTTGCAAACATACGATACAGTATAATGGTACATGTTACAAATGAGGCGTTGACAAATCAAATAAATACATATACTAAGTCGTACTGTGAGCAAGGTGTATTAACCGGGGATAGCAAGATGGCGTCAGCTGCTAACATATCAACTTATGTATACTAAACATGGCTTAGGTAGATTTTAATCCGAGGGACATATTGGTAGCGTGTTGGCAATGTTTTCATGAACGGCAACGTGTTAATGCGAACACATTTAGAAAACTGCAGCTTTGCTTCCACTATAGTGGATTTATTTATATCATCAACACTCCAGATCTTTGTAAGCTGAGCAACGACGCGATTATTGCCAAAGTGATGTTTAAAACAAAACGAAAATATCTTGTCTTATCTGGTCGTGGCTATGAGTCGTGGAAACCCACAGTGTTCCTGAATACTCACTACCACACAGCCATAGCTAACAATTAACACAGAGCGAATAACAACTCGAAGCTTATTACGAAGCCTTTGAAAGGTCATAAGGGTCGCGACCTTCTCCGATTCGGATCGAGCTCGATAAGACGTGACAAAGACGAGGCAAGAAAGCTGATAAGGGACGAGAAAATTAAAAAAGGAAGAATAAACCAACCAAGCGTTACAATGAGATGTACACAGAGTGTTTTATTCCATTCAGCCGGGATGTTTAGTAGCACGTATAAGTGGGAACAAAAAAGTTCATTAACTGTAAGCAAAGAATAAAAAAGAACCAGAATGCCGGGTTTGTACACAATAGTCTCGTACTGGTTGTTATAACATTGACTTTAGGCAACAAGAGGAAAACGGGCGCATATACTATCATCTCATCATAGAATATCTTCATTTACATCAAGTGACAAATGTATAAATTATAATTATGAATATGAGTAGGAATTTGAAAAGAAAAAAACCTGAACTTGATGCTGCCATTGGATAATCGTACTATCACATGTAGGAATACTGTAATCCGAATTATCGCATTTATATAGTAGTAAACAATATTTTACCATGTAGTAACTTGACTGAACAACTCATTTCCGTGTGTCCGCCTGTCACCAAGACTACATGCAAACTCAAACTGTTGTTACTGTTTCGAAGATTGAATTTAAAAGAAGTGAAGTAACCAACTCGACATAAATTCCAGATGTAACGTTCTGATAGTGATGCCTAAAAAGCATGGACGACACACAGAGGTGTTTCTAGCACGGATTTGGTTGTATTCACAGCAAGGTGGCGCGGTTATCAGGCAAGGCATGCGCGTTACTAGATATGAAAAAAAAGCCTCGAATCTGTTCAAATGGGTCATTCCATTTCGGAGCTGTCAAAATCAATTACAGTTGTCCGAGCTTTCTAATCAACTGTTTCTGCCCCGGGCATAAGAACGGAGTAGACAAACTCATGTCGATTTTTATAAATGTGAGCTTTGAGCGCGAGGTACAATATGCGCATGCGTATTCTCATGTGTTTTTCCACCAGTCCCCATGTGCGACAAAGGCACTAAGTAATCTCAGCGAATTACTTGGACAACGCGCAAAAGTAATAGAACACCGCGTTTCGCATATAAAAATGCCAATGTAAACAATAAAATATCCATTCTTTATTTTCAGCTTTGACTTCAACATTTCAACAAGAACAAAAAGAACATAATTTACAACTTTTGCACACGTGACATGGTGAGAAAGTACAAATGATATAGTGTGATTGGACGGGCTGAGTCACATGACTTCAATCGTTCTTTTGGGCGTAAAAGCACAGATAATCAGTAACACAAATCAATTTTGCAAAGCTATAATCTTGTTAACATTATATCCGCAGCTGTATGAAAGACATTCACCAGAGGAGGATTTTATCAAACTTATTGAAAATTCACCGACCCCCCTCTAAAGTATAAACAATTCAACTTATATCATCTAAATCTATTTGATTTGTTGATAGCTGTTCCAATAATTTAATATTTATTAAAATTTAATATAATAAAAATTGAGAAAGCTCATCAAAGTTGTCAAAATGATAATCGTCTCGCCTCATTCAATGATAAAAATAACAATCATGCAAATCAAAGTATGCAATTGTTGTTTTCTATTTTACAAAGGTTTACTTATTTTTGAACTCCAACTTTCGGGTCGTCTACAGGAAAAATGTGTGAGCTATTTCGGCGATATTATCCTTTAGTGTCATCATCAGCATCCTTTCAAGGGAGAGACTTCCCACTGATCCCCAATATATATATATATATATATATTACAAATAACATACAATATTTTTTTCAAACATTTAAAAAGAAGATTTGCTGTCTATTGCCATGGCAACAATATGAAAATGAGATTCCTGTTATTTGTACACTGTCTCTATATTGTAATTTGTGTAATTGAAAACAACATTTTTCTACGATCAGCAAACTAAATTGCGGACTTCAAGTTCAGTTTTCATGGCGTACTTGTGTTCCTGCGCCCTGATCCTAAGCGAAGCAATGCTGGAACTCTGTCTATCCTCCGATACGTTACTCCCTTTCAAGTTCGTCACTATTGGTGATACCGGAGACGGTAGCGGGGGTGAAGACGCCGTGGTGGCACCTTTGACGAGTAGACCAATCGGCTGCGCAACCCCGTACACCGAGTACAAACCCACCGATACCGAAGTCTCCACGCTGCTCTTAAGTCTCTGTATTTTATTATTTTTCAGTTTCGTTTCCCGGGTCGAGGAATCTGATGATAAAATTTGTTCGATGCTAAAAGGGCTTCTAAAAGCAGATTTTTGTTGCCCAGAGGGTGATTTTTTTGTGGATAGCTCCGCCACTATGGTGCCATCGTTCTCGTGGCCCGTCCTACCCACGGTATCTCCTCTGTGTAACCGTGTATCGTTATTTTCCTTGAGATCGTGATTTCTGTTTGCGTCATTTACTTCTTTAGCTATTCGCTGCAGAATATCATCTTCGTGTTTGTGGTTTCTGTCCTCCGTGTCCCTTTCGCTGATATACGATTCACTGGCCGTACTTTTACAGCTGTCGAAGTCCATCTTCGAACTCGACAAATCGAGACTTTTCAACGACTCCAGTCCTTTTATATCCAAATCTTTGTTGTTTTTGGTGGCTTCCTTCAGTGCCTTCAACCTAGCCTTGTCTTCTTGCTTCCTTCTCTTCCTCTCCGTCCGCTCATGTTCCTTTTTCTTAAGTTCCTCGGGATCTATTGGAACGCCGCTGCATGTTGTCGGGTGTGCGTTGTGGGCAGGTCGCCCTGGTCCCTTTTTTGTGTTTTCCTTCTTTCGCCATTTTGCACGTCTGTTTTGAAACCAAACCTGAAACGTACACAAAGCAAATATCCATTAACTACTTTAATGAAACTGACAACACACGCTTTCTCGTTTTATAGAAATTTAATTACGATTTTATATATACATATATATACATATATATACATATAGCATGAATACAAATTATGCAAACGGAATGAGGTAAATGTCACCCCGAACAATATCAGAAATAAGGTAATAACATTCCCAAACTCCAATGAAGCAGAAGTAACAGAAGGAAAACGAAAATGGTTAAATAAAGCAACGACATTGAGAAAAAAGTCTACGAGAATCTAAATCACGCCATAAAATGTAAATCTTGATATTCGAAATGTTGTAAATGTGACAGCTGTTTAGCGGAGAATTAAATTACGCTGAAATTTACACGATTGAAATGGGCACCTCGAATTAAAATTGACAACTGTGTGTTTTATATTGTACGCGCTCCTGCATTAACCACAGGTAATTTCATTTCATTTGTTCATCAGAAAGCAATTAACAATTACAAGAAAGGCTTAATTACTTCTGTTAATAATTTCGTGGTCTGTATACGGTCCCAGCACCAACTTGAATAATCGGCATATCATTGTTTTGAAATTTACTACCGCAATATTTCCGCAATTAAGGCGCCTCATAATGTAAACATTGTCGTTGTTTTATTGTATAAATGATGCCTGTCCATTAAGGGCTAGTCATAAATCGTGTGTAAATTTCACCGCCTCGGTAAAGTATGATGCCCATCAAGGTGATTCCCTTTAAATGCTAATATTACGTTCCAATTAATCACCACCTTCATTGTTTTGAACGAGCCAATTTACATATGATGTGCTGAACATTACAGTGAGAAAATAAATAAGCGATTAATATTGATCTAGTTGTTTATTTGCACTTATGGCGAGCGATCTTGGATATTGATAATGTTTTATCTGAATGTCAGAACGGTGGTATAGCATAATAACGAAAAAATGAACGACGGTAACTTGGTTACAATATTATAAAGCGGCATAATCCCGATAAGGTCGGTCTCAGCGTGAGCTGGATGGGACAAAAAACTACCAGAAAATAATATAACTTAGCTGCGGAAATGTATTAAGACCATAAAAGTGATGATTTGGACGGGGTATTGGAAATCTTTTGGAAAGCACTGGTGCGCACAGATCACGTGGGTTTCATAGCATTCTCCTGAATACGTGCCTTCATGTGACGTCCATTGCGCTCACATAAAACAAATCATCCACGGCTACTTAATTTAAAAGACAAATTAAGAGAATGTTAGGCGGTATTAGTGTCGATAACAACCTGTTCCTAATGTCAAAATTGTTTTTTTCCACTCGTCGTGGTATCCTCGTTCGACAGTATTACAGCACCATCAACGCGATGGAAAGTACTGTGTTTTCGCTACAAAAGTACATTCTCCTTCTACTTGTCATGTCTCGACTAGAGAAATTGCACTCGATCAAACGAGTTCACAAGTGCCGGGATTCACTAGCAAATCACGCCATTTCCAAAAGTTAGATGTTTATTTTTTAAGGATTCTATAACGTCATCATTTCAATCCTACGAATTTTGAAACAACCTCCGCGGTTTCCATAATGCATACAATGTAAATGAACGCAATGTGCAAGTCTTGAAATGCGTCACTAACATGGAGATGTGACAGACACGCTGATCACGATGAGGTGTGGAAAAACGTTTCCACGAAAAAACCACTTAAGTTGTGCCACACGCCAACTCATAAGTCGGTAACACGGTGACAAACCAACTCACCGCGTCCACTGGCAAGCAGTTATTACGATACCCCCCCCCCCCTTTATTCGTGTCTACAACCTGCACACCGTCAGTATATTGGCTTAGAGAAAAGTAATTTCATTCAGGCGTCATTGAAATGACATATTAGCGTGCAATGCATATCACATTAGCGCTACCTAAGTAATATAAGCATACTGAAAGAAGTAGTGGGCTTCACACCAGTTGGACGGCTCTCGCATCCGCCACATGTAACGAAATGAGGCTTGTGAAAATAAATCATCAACGCCTTTGATAACGTCACGTGATTCGCAACAGATATGTAATGCAGTCCGACACATTACCTTAAATATTATCAAAATTGTGATTAACAATTTTTTGGTGCAGTAAAAAAAAATCGTCTTCATCAAAATCCTATATAATGCGTTTTTATTTATTTGTTGGTGCCTTTTGTCCTCCAATTTACAATCTATATGTATTTTAATTTTAGAAAAATAATATTTCACCATTATCTGTGCTATGCACAAGCTCGCCGCGCCTCTGCGCAGTGTAATGTTTTCATTGGGCTATGACCACGCAGACAGGATATGAGTTCTTTACAGAAGTGCTGTTTGATTTGGGGACATTTTAATGCCTGCTGCCTGGTGCTACAAAAGCAGAAATCAAATATCAATTTTCGCACCGAAATGTAATTTTCCCCGTTTTAATAACGTCTCGCAGGAATCACTTTGCCCGTGCACGGACTTATAAAAAAATGATTTAATATCAGTGGGCTACTGTGTTCAACGCGTCAAAACAAATTACATAAATGATAGAAAGGAAAGAAAACATTACGAGTGAAACGCAACAAAGCCCTGGTAGATTTCGCCATGATTGGCAGAGATAAATTGTCACATTTCGCATTGTGCTAGTAGTAATGGCAATGTCTCGTGTAAACAAACATTATTTTCTGTAGAGTGTCCATTTCCTTTATTAAATTAAACTCCAGGCACAATTGTAAAAACTGGGGAGACGGCTGCGTTTCATATGAATAAAAAACGACGCGACGCTCACGTAAAATTTCTCTCCCCTTCGTTCCGGCTCTCACTCCCGTTCTACTAGTTTATTTCGTGCTTGTTTAATTGCCTCCCTACTTCAAGTGGGCCATAGTGTATTTTCAATATACGATGCGACCGCCCAGTTAAAGTAATTTAAAACTCCCTTGGTCAAATTGGATTACTGGTAAAGCCATTGAATTCGATCGCAGCATGGGCAGGCAACCAATATGGCTCATTATAGTCTAAGTAATGATAGGATAAAAGGAGAAAAAAAATTAAATCTCGACTTGAGAATATAGTTAGTCTGGTTTTGTGTAGCAGTCTACAAAAAGAGGTTTAACAATTGTGAACCGATCCTCCGCTGGGAGTAAACTTTCGGGTGGACTCTATTAATGTGATGATCCAAGAGTCGAAAGTCAGAAGAAGCCAAAAACTAAGAACTCAGACTTTCTTTTATCTGGCACGTTTCAATTGCGCCAGACTCAATTTTCTTCTCTTTTCTTATATTCGAAATTCCAGGTGGTCACCATAGCAACAAATCGGTGCAAACGTGTTTTGTTCAGTTTTCTTTTTTTCTTTAAGTTTGAGTATTGGCCACCAAAAGGACGCCTGAATCAATTTTACCAGAGTATTCAATCCCTCCGAGGATTGGCTTAGAACTGACTTGTCCCTCTTGACCTAGCTGAGCTATTCGATTGCCCGCGTTCTTTACCCACCAAATAACATCTGGCCTGCTACTGACTCCACAGTTCTTTCTGTAACTTTGATTTAGAAATTAAGTCGTCGGCCAATTCTTCTCCAAAATTAAGGCTTTGTGCAGATGAAGTACAGCGTATATTTTACGTGTACGGATGGGTGAAGCTTCACTCGGCTACATTGACGCCGGTAAAAATACACTAACGCTCTGAATCAGAAGTCAAGAAAATCGTTTGTTTGTCCTTTTCTTTTAGCTGTTTCCACTCCTCCATAATTATAGTCCCATCGTCGTTTGTTGTTAGCCATGAGTGACTAAAGTGATTGGGTGCCCAGCTGAGGGTAAATCATCGAAAAATTACGTCTCGTCTTGATCTATGAGAACTTTACTACCAAAAAGAAAAAAATAACCCCCAATTGCACAGCCGATGGATATAAAGAGCGTCATTTTTACTAGTCCTAATTGCTTTTCAGAAATACCATCACCACCAAAATGGCTTTTAACTATGTTCTTTATATATACTCTTACAAGAACGAAGAAAACATGAACAACTATTCGGAGAGGCAGTCCAAGTATTCGTAAACTATGCGACAATTAAGCGGCTGTTTGCGCTTGGCTACCTGACAAGTAGCCGTGTAAGAAGTGGAAGCAATTTGGGAGTGCACTTCGGTAGCACCTTGCTGTCTACACGTGGTGGGTAGGACACAATGACATGGCTATTCAGAGCCGAGACGCTAGTCGCCTTCGATATAGCTACGGCTTTGTGTTGGTCAATTGAGAAATCCGCCCAAGATAGAATAACTTTGAAGGTTTTGCTAACTTAATTGTTTGTCGGCCACTACAATTTCCCTTGTATACTGTTTGAATTGACTACTATTTTATATTATCTTGATCGTTGTTTTTAATAGTGAATATATGCAGGACATTTGGTCTCAAAAGACGAGTCTGTGCGTCATCGTCTAGTCAATTCACAGGTTCGAGTCCGGTTGCTCGGCGCTTCGGCGAAACCCCTACAGTACATTTTCTTCAAACGATCATTGGCGAAAATTAGTCATCGAATAAATCGGCAGACAAAGGGTTTGCTCACACCATACTTTCAACACAATTAACTAGATAGTCATAGAAAATATCCGATTTTTCCCCAGCTTGTGTTTACTATAAAATTAGTGCGACTAACATGGGCAGTAACCCCCTCCAGTACATACACAATAATAACTATCATCATATTTGTTATTGCCGTTAGGGTGGACAAATAATCCAGTTGATTTCAATCGGGGGACAGGTTCAAGTAGTTTTATTCGAATTAGAAATAGAATTCTTGGTATCTATCGAGCAGTCCACAATACTATATGTTTTATTTTAAATGTAGATATCAAAAGTTCTTCATTGCGATCCACGTCGCCTATGACAGTGATTTGTGGCAATTTGAACAGATCAAACACACCCCTCTATCTTTTTTCTTGTTAACATTATGTTTACGTATTTAGACGTGTACAAAGCTTAGTTTAAGTATCTCTTCACCTAGTCGGGAGGTCAGACACTTCATGTCAATATCGAGAGACTGACTAGGAAATAATGTGTGCAAGACAGGATCCTGCATTTTCACATACAGTGCCGTCAGTCTGAGTAAATTAATTTCGACTTCTATTGACAATCAACAAGACGTCACCGTGAGTTGAACATTTGCCGAATGCAACAGACGTAGAAGGAATTTAAAGAGTGCTCAGTAGCGGTCGTCATGGTCCAGAAAATGCTTTCACATTTTTTTCTATTTTCATTCCCTTTGCATCGCCCATTGAACAAATAACACGGCCACCCGTCTTGACTTTAACTGAATAAAACGAAAAATTGAAAATAAAAGTGTGAAATGCGTCTGCCGGCAGAGCGTCTGAAATGTGCAGACCGCACCTTAGCGATGTTCGATTTTTTAACACCGGTGCGTTACTAGCGTGATTGAGTAGGCTATGAAAGCGGACAGACGAAAGCCACCGAAAACGGCAACGAGGACAGCTTGTGATGGATGGGGGCAAGTTAAAAGGGGTCTAACATTAAGTTCTTGCTACGTAAACCTAATTTAGCATTCTAAAGCAGGCTGTGTGCTAGAAGTGCATAAATACGGGCATTACACACACCTCACGACGAGGAGATGGCGGGGAGAAACCGGAAAAGGCCAGGCTACACGGCGTGAAGGGTGATCCGCGGAGACAGTCGCCGACTATCACGCAGCCAAGCTAAATTGCTATACAATGGGGTTTATTTTCCCTTAACAAAAAGTATAGGAGATGTATGGGGAAAGAAGAGCGAACTATTATCACCCCGGGTCGTTTAATTGTCTGCAATTAATTCTATCCCATCACACGCTGTGAGCCATGTGAAAACAGAAACCGACAATCGAACACATCATGCGTATCAGCTCACACTAGCAAAATAATACAAGGCACATATATGGAAAACGAGCTCGTGTATATTTACTCGTCATTGACGTGGTATCTGAGTTTTTTTTTTTTTTTTTAAAAACTTATCACAATGCAAATATTATTATACGTATATGTTGTTAGTTATATAGTTCGTAATCAAAACAGTGGCATGCTTGCTACTAGTGAGTGCTGAATTGAAAAACCAGAACCACACTTTGTGAACATAAGTTTGTTTGGCCACTTCTCATAGTGATCGGTTGAATGTCCTAGCCCGCAGCGCTCTATCGCGCATTTAATTGATATTTGTGCAAGTGTTACAAATGTGCAGGGTAGCTTTTTGTCCCCATGTTTTGCAACTGTTCGTTGAAGGTGTAGGACACAGACTGCGAGTAATAAATACATTTTTTCGTAATGTATATTTTCGTGCGTATTTTCAAGGATGACGCCGGGGGCCAATCAACAATGTTCTATTAGCAAAAACTAGGTATATGAGAGAAACACTAAAATGGCAAACACATAAAATACAAAAAAAAATGTAAACATTAGGAAAATAGAAAAACAAAGATTCGATGTTTCTTTGTTCTTTATCAATTACGACCGCAGTGACTGTAACATTGTAGATACTCATCACCTCACATCATCGTGTGACGTTTGTCCATCTCACAAACTCAAATTCACTCCGACGTTCAAACACCAGACCCCCACCACAGAAAACGTTTGTATAGAGCATTTTGTTAACTAATTCAGAAAAATCAAAATTCTCTCACCCATATTTAATAAGTTTCTTATTTTATAATGTGTACACACCTGAACGCGGGACTCCACTAGATCGAGCTTCATCGCAAGTGCTTCTCGGGTGAAAACATCGGGGTAGTGGCTATCATTGAACGCTTTCTCCAACTCCTCCAACTGCCAGCCGTTGAAGTTCGTACGCGTTCGCCGCCTTTTTCCTGAGCTTGACTCCTTACCATCGTGTTCCGAATCATTGCCTGAAATAAATGCAATGTATAGTACGTCTAGAATTAAAATTGTCAATTTATGGGATGTTACATCAGGTCACGCACGACCGGCCTGGCTGCCGATAAATCCATATACGATGTCGGCGTGTTGCCACAATGACACCCCACCTTGCTCAATGGTTTGTTTTATCGCAATGAAGACAAACGAGAGTATCATCGAACAGTAAACACATTCGATATACTTGTAGCCATTTTTATTATACAAATAAAAAAATGTTAAGTCATTAATAGGGGAAACGTTATGAAATTTAAAATGAATATTTAGCTAGATTATATCGTTATTGAAGCAAAAAACAAAACAAATATTTGGTTTGGTTGTAACATTTTGGAAATCGACACTTCCGTAAAAGCAGAAAACACTCTCCACAAAACGTACTGAGTTGTTAATCTTTCATATTAACGAAAAGAGAACCCGGGCTTGTTTACGATTTCAATGAAGATATTCGACTTGCAGTTGACTACAGGTATAAAGTGTTAAGAAGAATAGCATTCTCTGCTGTCTCTGTCTATAGAAACAAAGCGCGTCCGTGTAGGATACAAGACACTGCTTCCTAAATTAAATTGAAATTCGGTCCGTGGAGGTAATCCCATTTGACAGTGGGACGTCTCACACAAAAGAAACCAAACATGTCCCAAAAAGGTGAGGTAAATCCACCGAATTGGATTGTGATCGTCAAGTTTCAATAACCATCGCTGGGAGTGTTGTTATCATTCTATAGTAACGCCTTCCTCAACTCAATGTATTCTTGCAGATAACTAACCACACACGCACACCAAACACTAATCTTGAAAGAAAAATATTTTAGTTTAATTTCTTCTTCAAATTAACTTCCGTAAATGACCCGTATTTTAAATGCCGTTTTTTTTGTTACTACTTTGGTGCGTATTATAGACGTGCATTCTCAGATAAAACACCTGGAACCATTCGAATACGTCGCAGTTTCCAAAAAAATCACTCGGGCGGTTGATACCAACACAAACACGCAGCGAATTTAGAATGTGATACCATTGGTAGTATACTGAAGATTTCCCTCATTTCATTTTATCCTCTTTCCGAAGGAGTGTTATCACCACGCTGCATTAAGTCACGTGTACGTTTGATGAATTGGTAGCAATAAGGAAAACAATAAAGAAAGAATAATCGACCCGTAGATAAATATTATAGGTTCTAAATGAGAAATATTACTAACACTGTAAATAGACCTCATAATTCCAAGTCGTTCATCTCACTCTGTCTCTGCGCGTTTTATCCTTTCCTATTTATTTGTTTCCAAAATTGCGATTTCTCATCAAAATAATTTTAATTTAGGTGCCAAAATCTGTCTGTCAACACATGTGCATCGAAAGTGTTAATTTAAAGCCTTGTGGGGGATTTTAATCCATGTAATTCCGTGCAGTGAAACGCAGTTATTACCCTAATATGCAATGATGTGTTTTCACTCACCGCCGCCTCTGACATATTGCTGTCAACATTCACTCTTTCTGTGTTCGAGGAGGAGTGGTGAGGTCCGTGGCTTTCTGATACCGTTTTGCGATCCGCTGGAGAAGTCTTACTACCCTCCCGAATTTGAACTTTGGCAAGCCGGCGGCCAAATCTACCCGAAACACAGGGTCACATTCTTGGAGAGTGCACATTGTAGAGTGCGTAGAGAACGGTTTGTTTAACTACCTGATTTACTTACTTGTTATATGTATATTGGAGTTGTTGGTAGAAGTGATCGTTGTGGTTCCGAGCATCTGGCTCCCGGTGCTTGAACCATTTATCAGTGAGTTGGTGCTCAATATCCCGTCGATGGAGAAAGACACCGAGTTCGAAAGGTTGTGTACAGACGGAAACTCGAAGGCATGCCCAGGTCGATACGGGAAGGCAGCAGCGAGCGACCCCAGAGAGCGACCATAGTGCTGGTCAAGCAGACGTGAATCCATCATTATCGCTTAGAGAAGAACGACACGTATCCCGCCAGTCAGTCCGCGTAGCATAGGACAGTGAAACTGATGGGAATCTCCTGCCGTACTAGTTGAATTGTTACATGAAAGACCACCAACGCTGCGGGGGGTCTTTGGGACAGCCCTATCTTCAAGTTTATAAACACCGACCAATCAAGAGCCGGCTTTCAGCGACGCGATGGCGATGCGCACCGCTATCATCAGGGTTTTCCCAAGCAAAGTTGCCATGAGGTTTCGCACGGTTATGTTAACAGAAATGTTTCACCCATATGCAATTCATTATTATTTCTGTCGAATCGCCGCCAGTTAAATGCTCAACTGTTGGTCTATGAGCTCCTTTGTTTTCACTGCGTAGCGACCGACATGACAAATTACGCCGCGGTGCCAGTGAGCGAAAACCTATTGAGTAATTCGAGATCGTTCGCTAAAAAGAAATCGGTAATCGGTATTTGTCGCCGACGAGCTAGCCCTTCCGACGTCTTCCCACACTAGCTAGATTGCGACAACAACCACGTTGTTCGAGAGAGGGGAGATAGACTGATAGAAAAACAATTGACACTGTGGTTGCGAAACGGATACCGTTTGTTCATTTCAAAAGAACGTGATTAAATTAAGTTAGATGGCATGTTAGTTTCATTTGTCACCGCTCTAACATTATGGTGGGGTGCGCTCAGTTCACAAATGAAGGGCTTCCCCTTTCTCTTCCATTCATCCAATCAATTAAGACCGGATTATATTGTCGTCCGTGAACATTATTATTATTAATATAATTATTTATAACTTAAAACCACTATGGTATAGGAAACGAGACGAGCCGCTTTGGTTCCAAATAATAGCATAGTTATTGCGCAGATAGCAATACGTGTTTTACTTGTGTTCAATTGTCGAGTGCTCCTGCAGCAATTATTTCGATCATGAATCTAGTAAACGCCCCCTGTTTTCATCAGCTTAGTCGCACCAATTGGCAGGCTCAATAGTTGCTATCGTTTGACTGTTGGTGCGTACCATTGATCCGGGACACTGTTCCTTTCTCTATAAAAAAAAACGTCGGGTAGAATAGCGCCGTCCCATGAGCCATGTCTGCCACTTGAGGTCGAAGAGGTTCATATGCAGAGCTCTGTGGTCGGGCGGCCTCGTTCACTTGGCTGGATTTTAAAACTCACTGTAGTTCACGGCCACCGTGACGTTCTTCGTAGACTTTTCCTTCAGAGATATTTGTTGAATATGTCACAAACCTTGGGGTCTGAATTAAAGATCCGTGCCTGTAGTAATATTACGTACAGATTTCTTTTTTCCAAACTATACTACAACGTGCCACGAGAATGGCAGCATGCTATCTATCAACGAATGCGACCCAGTGGGACACCATGTGATACGGCAAATAAAGCACAGATCACATAGGCTTCCGACGGCTGTCGGTCTTACTCGTCTGTCACCCAGGTCTTTTACATTGTATATTTATGTACAGTACCGATATCCCCACTTGAGATTCTTTCGTTAATTGGTAAGCGTCTTCAAACACCGTCCCGCATATCTCAGCACCCTCTCAGCATGTCCTCAGATAACACCACCCCTCCTGCGACAGGCATTCAAACTAAGACCCCCAACATACCGATTGTCAACCCCGGCCACGCAGGCGCAGACGGCACCTTCAACGCGGCCCCGCCCAAACACCGTGTTATTAACAGGCGCCTTGTCAGGCATTTAAATTTGATGGGTTATATACCTCAATCGAGCTAAGTAGCTCAGTAACAAATGCTATGAAAAATTAATTTGCTGTTGTTATACTGCGAAGATGCATTTTGCAGGGTCAGGAACGGGGCTCATTAAACATTAAACCTCGGCAACATGGGACGGTCTCCCTCACGTGATATATCGCATCTGGTTGGAAAAAGAAAGCACTTATCAATAGAAAACTGAATAAAACGATGATGCAGATGAAGGAATTATTAAAGAGATTGGAAATCGGGATAAATAAAGGAAAATAAAACTTGGATGATTTCGGATCGATTTGTAGTCAAAGCCACGCAGAACGAAAGGAAATTGTGCTAATCGGCACTCAGGGAGAATGCAACTTTTACTCGGTGCAAATGACAAGTGAGTTTGATCGGCAATCGCGTGATGGATGACAATACACAGCCTGCTCTTTGCTTTCTAATTGAATTTATATTCCCTCGAACGTTTCGGGAAATATAATATAAATGGGAAAATGGAAATGTAATTAGAGGCCGTAGCGATGAGCCAACGTTCATTTAATTTGTGGCCCGGTATGTGTACGTGAAAAGCCATGGAGAAAGTGCTAAATACGAGTCGAAGACGCCCCCATGAGGGACTTAGCAGTCATCTCCCTAGCCATTCGATCGCAGAGACACTTAACAAGAGGTAAACATTGCCGTCTTGTAAAGTGTTTCAAGTTTCCATCTATTGTACACATTGGTTGATTTGGTTTTCAGGAGAAGGCCAAACAAACCCAAATTGGCACGTAACTCCGTGTTCAATCGCCTGGACCCACCATCTCGCTACATACTTTGAAATGCAATCGGCAATCTTGGATCAAAATGTGATACTTAATGTAGCGTGGCCATGTTTGCCAACAAGACGTGTTTTTCTTTCGTCGAACTTGAAAGTTAAACTTTTTCTGCAAGCGTATGTGCGAAAGTATCATCACTGAATGAACTAGTCCAGCTACATAGTATTTCAGGACACGTTTTCACATCATAAACTACCGTTTTCTATCATTCTGATTACCTTTACCGATCACCGGAGTACGAACATTTAAAGACATTTTTTTCCTGTTGATATCCGCACAGTTTTCCCAGTCGCGATAACGCGCATGCGCACAAAACTATTCGCGTAACTTGTGATTGAATAATGAGAGCCGAAAAAGTCAATCCGAGGCTGTTCTGTATATGTAGGGTTTGTTGACCCAACTGTCTGCCACATTAATTCGGATACATTACCACGACCACATCACAAAGTCGACTTTTAATATTAAGTCCATCTTCGTTGACGAATGATGAATGTCGGCTGCAATCGATACTTCGCAGCGAGATGAAACGTAATGGAAACGTGGAAATCAACTTTTCTATTTACAAATCCACCATTTGTTATTAAAAAGAAACGAGGGCTTGAATAAATACCAAACAATCAAACATAATTTGCATATCGATATTTTTTTAAACAACGTACTGCCATTTGTAGTTCGATTATTAAGTATGTGTATCAATTTCACAAATATTATCCCCTGATTTTTTGTTTGCCAGATTTTCAATGATTGTTTTTTTTTTTAGGTAATTGTATATCTGTGGTAATGTTCTGCATACGTTGAATGACGACATTTATATTCTCTCGATTTAATGAACAGGTAATTATAAGTTCGACCAGACGTTTTTAAACACGTGGCTTTCTCCCAAATACACGATTGCTCGTATTCGTGCCTAACGATTATATTTTCACAAACTCGTTAAATTTGTTGTGACATTCGGTCACCGGTAGCCCGGCGGATGGGTTCACTAACTCATTTGAAATACCTGGCCACTGGCCGAGATCACATTAGCGCGAACTTCGATATGCTTGGCAGGTTTGGTACTTGTATTCGTTCGTGCCCGGCTAACTGGCTACAGGAGATCACGCTAAATTGTCACTAAATGTACTCTCAAATATCAATATGGTTTCGTTGACAATTCAGTATACTAGTATTCGGCGGAACAGGCAAGTAATCAGGAGTGGCCAACAATGTTCCGGAAATGTCGAATGACACAATAACAAAAATGTGTCATGTGACCCAACTGTAACCGTTTAGGATAGATAATTAACACAAATACAGTTGCGACTTCAAACAGTCATGTTTTTTTTTATAATAACCAATAAATCAGGCAACTTCATGTTTAATAACACCATTATGAGAAATGCGATATGTCCATACCGCCACCAATCGATATGAAAACAAACATGAAATTTGCCGACTTCAACTTGAATTTAAAATTAATTGCTGTCTGTAGTGAGTAACACACTGTCTTGGACTTTCCTGTAAAAATGTAATTTGCTTAGCCGTTGTTTCACTGCTATAAAAACAATAGCTGTAGGCTGCGTGAAAAAAAGGCCAGGTTTGCTAATGGCGCAGATTGTAGAATTCACGGTCTTTCTTGTCTCACAGGAATTCAACATGATGAGTGATAAAATGATAACAGATAATAAAAAAAGAAAAGGTTACCAAGGTTACCAAAGACGCATTTAGTCTAGATAATGGTCGAGATCACGATCATAACGGATCAATTGCCGTTCTATAAACTAGATAGAGATTGTATTAGTTAGTGTTTATTAGTAATGCCATTCAACTTGAAGTCCAAGTCTCATTAAAACGGACCTATTATAATTAAAGTTATGTATCAACAGTCTCGCGCGAATTACAAGTGCGCAATAACATTGCTAGTATTATGACGTCACGATTACGTTAAAATAGCTACATACCACGAAGTGAACTCGAGATCAAGTCTAAACGGCCAACGTCCAGTCCCTCATTGTGTTGTCATGGAGATTACGCTTCCTATGACTATCATTAATATTAATGATAATCAAGTTATAATATATGACGATGAATTGTTTACTTACTTGTGTCTTTCGTGATTTTCAGTATTTCTAATTAAAGATTATTTTGATATTTAAATATTTTCAATATTTAATTGCTATTTGTCTTACTACCTGCCAGTTTTGAAATAGTTTTACTTTGTAACACATGTTATTATAGTTAGTGGTTGTTGTCACTTCAACTTTTCATATGATTGTGACGTAACTGTAGAATACGGTGACGTAATCATGTATATCATTCTGTGTGTGTCCGTGACCGATACTGTTGTTGACATTATTGTTATTGTTGCGTGTGAGCAATAGGTGATTTTCCGAACAATTGCGAGATCTCGCGAGATGCATGAAAGACGCGCGTCGAACGTCTGCCGCAAAAATCGAACGATTTGATTTTG